CTCTCTCTCTCTCTCTCTTCTTTCGACCCTGTGTGCGCACGAATTATTATCCCGACCCCCTTCCACGTTGGAATAGTTCCGGTCGCTCGACTAGGCGCTTGCTTAATTACCTATTAATGCGGCGGCCCTCTCTCCTTCTTTTCCCTCCCTTTCTTTCGCGAGATACGTAATTGCATCCGTGGTATACGATTGTAATACGCGAGAGGGAGGATCGAATAGGATAATTCGTGCGATTATCCGATTAACCGTTGTCAAGGGAAAATGACGAGGTCTTTCTTCGTATCCCAGCGTCGCTGTATTGTCGTATATTTAAACGAAGATGATCGGTCGAAATAAGGTTTTCGATTTTCAGGCGAGATTGCGACGAAGGAACCGCTGGATCGGGAAACGAAAGGGGTGCACGAGCTCGTCCTCGAGGCCAGGGATCAAGGGACTCCGTCGAGAGCGGCCAGGGTGCCTCTCAAGATCACGGTCCTCGACGTGAACGACAACTCGCCCGAAATCGTGGACCCTCAAGGGGACGTGGTCAGCGTGAGGGAGGAACAGCCACCGGGGACCGAAGTGGCGAGGGTCAGGGCTTTGGACACCGATCTCGGCGAGAACGCATCCGTCACTTACACTATCCTCAAAGGTATCTTTTTTTTCCTCGAAATTGATTCTCCGATCTTAAGTTTGGAGCAAACGATGTATCGATGTTTCTTAGATCTTAAAGTTTCATAGATCTTAAATCGAAGGAAATTGATTCTTCGATCTTAAAGTTTGGAGCAAACGATGTATCGAATCGATGTTTCTTAGATCGAGGTATCTCTTCCTTTTCCTCGATCCGTTAGAATCGAATAAAATTAATTCTCCGATCTTAAAATTTAAAGCAAACGATATATAAGTATAACCAAGTCGATGTTTCTTAAATCTTAAAGTTTCTTAGATCTTAAATCGAATGAAATTAATTCTTCTATCTTAAAGTTTGGAGCAAACGATATATATCGAGTCGATGTTTCTTAGATCGAGGTATCTCTTCCTTTTCTTCGATCCGCGAGAATCGAATGAAATTAATTCTTCGATTTTAAAGTTTGGAGCAAACGATGTATATCTAGTCCATATTTTTTAGATCGAGGTATCTCTTCCTTTTCCTCGATTCGCGAAAATTGAATGAAATTAATTCTCCGATCTTAAAATTTAGAGCAAACGATGTATTCGGAGCAAACAATGTGTGAGTATACCGAGTCGATGTTTCTCAGATCGAGGTATCTTTTCCTCGATCCGCGAGAATCGAAATTAATTCTTCGATCTTAAAGTTTGGAGCAAACGATGTATTCGGAATAAGATCGATGTATAAGTATATCAAGTCAATGTTTCTTAGATCGAGGTATCTCTTCCTTTTCCGCGAGAAATCTGCGAGAATCAAAATTAATTCTTCGATCTTAAAATTTGGAGTAAATGATGTATTCGGAACAAGATCGATGTATGAGTATACCGAGTCGATGTTTCTTACGTCGAGGTATCTTCGATTAAAGTTTGGAGTCGATGTTTCTTAGATCGAGGTATCTCTTCCTTTTCCTCGATCCGCGAGAATCGAAATTAATTCTTCTTAAAGTTTGGAGTATGATGCATTTGAAAAAAAATCGATGTATGAGTATATAGAATCGATGTTTCTTAGATCGAGACTCGGACGGGTACAACGTGTTCACCATTGACCCGATCACGGGGATGATCAGGACGAAGGCGGTCCTGGATCACGAGGAACGGAACGTGTACCGGGTGTCGGTGAAGGCGACGGACGCGGGGCGACCACCCCGCCACAGCATACGCGCGCTGAGAGTGGAGGTTTTAGCGCTCGCGGATAANGGCCGACCTTCACCAGTAGCAGCCTTACCTTTAACGTGAGTATCTCGCCGCGATCTCGTCGCTCCCTCTCTCTCTCCTATCCCACCGAGAGAAACGCGATCGAGAAACTTTCTTGGCGGATTATTAAAGAAGAAATGGGATCTAGGTGCGGGAGGACGCGAGCATAGGCCAAGCGGTGGGCTCGGTGTCGGGGGCGGGTCCCGCTGGCCGCGTGGCCTTCACCTTGGACTCTCTCACGCCCGTCAGCGAATTCCCAGCGTTCGACGTGGACCGAAGCTCGGGCCAGCTGGTGGTGGCCCACTCCCTCGACCGCGAGAACGTGAGCGAGTATCACCTGGAGATCCGCGCGTTGGACACGACCTCGATCGGCAATCCCCAGAGCATCGCCGTCTCGGTGAAGATCGCGATCGAGGACGCGAACGAC